GACACCAGAACAAGTCTCAAGATAAGAATCTTTACAAATTTCTGGAATTGCTTTTTCCTTCATAGATAAAACATGTTCTGCTTTCTTCCCATCTAAGCACATATTTAAATAATCAAGATGGCAGAAATAAAATGGAGTTTTCCAGCAGAAGAAAATCCATGGAGGAATGATGTCCTGAAGTCAAATGGAAGGTACAACGAGTGGATGGAGAACTCTACTGCTGCCTCAGTACTCCAGCTTGTACCAAGGGAAGTCCTGTAATTAGTGGTCATATATAAATACCCAGAGATGGATCCATCATCTGTTGAATCTCATTAATTACCGTGTAGCTCCACTGGATATGAAGTTTACCCATAGGTTATGAACTGTGGACTCAGGCATAATGGTGATATGGCAATAAAATACCCTTCCTTCACTAAAACACTTGGGTTATTCCTAACATCAGAAAATAAAAATAGGATGAAAAAGTATGTATGACATAAATATTTCAGTGCCTGCCCTATATTCTTGTATAATAAAGAACAACCCTGAAAAGTCCATAGATCTGTCTGCTGTGTGAAGTACAGATTTCCCCTCTACACTGTACTGCATCTAACTATTCAATGTACAGGAGAGAAGAAATATGACAAGGGAATCAACAGAAAGACCTTGAAAATCTTAATCTGTTTTTCCTTTCTCAGTACCAGGCTTCTTTAAAGACAGGAAAGATGCTACTGAAATACAAAATGAACCATAAAGCTAGGTAGTGTTGCTTGATCTTGTTTTGACTCAGACCCATACAAAACAAGTTATTGTCAAGCTATTTATATATTTATATATTTATATATTTATATACACATATATAGAGAGAGTTATTAATGTTCACTATTAAAAAAGATATAATCGTAGTTTGATAGGGACTAAGGGGGAAAATGAGATAACACGACAATGTTTCTGTGGAAAGTATGAGTTGATATCTGTTAAAAAACTAAAGTATATAAAACACTAAAGCACAACTTTATTTTTTTTGTCAGAGATTTGCTGTAAAAATTTTACAAATATATAGATATTGCAGACTTTGGTAAATACCACCCACACTCAGTTGCCTGTACTAGGTATTCTAAATCTCAGACAGTTTGGAAGCCATAAAAACCTGCTGAAAAACTGGTGATCACACAATTACTAGCACAAGTAGTATTAAAAAACATAAAAATTTACCTCTACTTTTTATTTTTCTTAAGCTTTGATATGACACAGGTGGAGAGAATCTAATGAGAATATTAGACTTTGATACAGCAACTTAAAAATGCTCTTAACCTTTAGTAGTATTAGGTCCCTATTTTCTCACAGAAATATTATTACCATTTGATTTCCTCATTCTGATCTAAGGTACTTTTTATCATTTAGCCCCAGACTATGTCTATGCCAGGAGAGACAAACTTCACTTTGATATATTAGTTGACATATTAGTTTATTTGCCTACATACTCAAGCTTGTTCGCCTTCAGGGATCTTAAAAAATTTTACCTAAATAAAGTGTATTCACTGAAATTATTTACAGCCACACTGTGCTTTTGATCTATATGAATAGTTTCCGCAGACTTTACTGATGTTTCAGGCATAGAGTGTTAAATTGCACTGTAGCAATAAATGCATTCCCTTTCATTACTGCTTGACTACACAATGGAAAAAATTCTTATTATATTTCTTAAAAGTTTAAAGATTTTGTTCGGACTAGCAGTTTTGCCTTCCCCCTTCTCCTCTTCCTAATATTAATTCCTTGCTCTGATTTTTTACTTCTGATTTATTCAGTCTTCGGTAGCTTCAAGTAGAAATGGTAAAACTTGCAATATAATATTTTAATTTATATTAGTACTAGTAGGATTGCCTGCTGCCTTCTTTGCTGATCCGGCCTTTATGCTGCTTAGAAGACATAGTGGAAAGGTTTTACATTTGACTAACATATACAGGCCTTTCTGAAACTAGAGCCCATTAATTTTTGTTGTTTTCTTCAATTTCAATGTATGAGTTTTTGTTTCTCTTGATTCTCAGAGATTCAACACTTACACATTAATAAGTTTGTATTGCATTATATCTTAGATATTTATTTATAGTTAAAATGTATCTTTTAAGAAAGATACTGTAAATTACTGTTGATAGTTGCCTAGAAGACACCTAGCTACTATTCCTCATATAAATGGTTGCATAGAGAGCAAATTACTTAAATAGCCTGACATTCATCTAAGGTCACAATATTATTGTTATTTATGAATACTTAATTATAAGTAAAATTAAAATTTCAAGGAGACTAGCTGTTGATTTTAGGGTCTTTTCCTTTAATTGTGAAAGGATTTAGGAACTCAAATATTCCCTTGAGTATTGTTTATACTTCTAATGGGACATGGGACCAATTTTCCATTGATTCCCCTTGACTCTTCTGATCCATAAACATTATAAATCTGTAGTAAATCTCAGACCCAGGCTCTGCTATCCAGTTTTCCACTAAGACAGGCCCAGAATGAAGTAAAATTACCCCTCTTACATTATTTAAATTGTTAGGAAAATATCAAACAAAGAACGAGCAAAGAGAACTTTACTCCCTTACAGTGAGAGAAAACCTGTAGCAGCTTTTTCCTCAGGACTGGACTGGAGATGAAAATGAAGACTGGCAAGATTTGAGCACAGGTCCATAATGCTGTATCCTCTGTCTGCATATTGCACAGTGATTCTCACCAGGTTGTTCAGACACAGTCGGACTTCTCCAAGTTTTCACTTCCTTTCCACATACTTGTTAGTGGCTGTCTGCAAACACGGGTTTATATGTAACATTCAGTCTCTGAAATATATATATATATATATATGCCCTTTATATAAAAAAAAAAGAAAAAAACAAGCAAAAAAGATGTATTTTAATGCAATGAATGTACCTATGACTACATACATCAAGGAAGATCAAAAATCTTCCATATGCTTAGACATTGTCTCCATTTGCTCCATGAAAAGCATCATTCAGCTTCTTAATAATTAAGCATCATAGAATATGTCTTTATTTTTCTGCTTTGTAGAAATACTGAAGGTAAACATTTTTTAGCATACAGCTACAACTACGATAATTGCATTGAACTATCTATAATATATATATTTTTTAATTTATTTAGGGGAAGTTTACATAGAAAGTACATTTTCACAGGTATTTAAGTTAACACACAAGTGCTGTTCTGAGAACTTAGATAAGAAATATTAAATTATTCTGAGCAATGTGATCTAGTGGAAGGTGTCCGTGCCCATGGCAGGGGTTTTGAAACTAGATAATCTTTAAACATCCCTTTCAACCCAAACTCTTCTATGATGCACTAATAAGCTCTTCATATAGAAGTATCTTAAGACCTCATTCTAATGTTACGATACTGAAAGAACCCCCTCCCTTTCATTGCATTAAAAAAAATATTTCTTTAGACAAGCCAGAACCAGAAGTCTGGTATGTACTGCAGGACTGTGGCATCCAGCATTTTGAACGAGATAATGAATAGTGATCACACATGCAAGAGTATATGTGCAGAATTTTTGAGTGGGTAAGTCACAAGACACAGCAGATTAATTAGATTTCCCCAATATAAAAAACAACAAAGTCTTACAAGGGATTAATTTCCTTAAGAACAAAGTTTGTCATTAAATATCACTTTCACAAAGGAGGTTAAGAAATCATCTTCACATGCAAAACCTCGCCAAGGCAGATGTGGCTGCACGAAAAGTTTATCTGCTGAGTAATGTGCTGATGCAAAATAACATACGTGATCCCATGTGATGTTGTCATTAATGGTTTGCACTTTTTTGGATAAAACTCGGTGTGCTTCATGTATCCCAATTCTGACATAAGAGAGCTACAGCAAGCTATAGAAAGGCTTCTATTAATTCAGCTTTTTAATGTGGAAGAAGGTTCCTCCCAGAAAGAATAAAACCCTGTGGGTTATAAATGGATCAAAAAGAATTATATTTTTTATTTATACTCCAGAAATGTAAGCAAGTGAATGAAATGGTTTCATATACATTTTTACATCCAATAGCAGTGAAAACACTGTTCATACATCGACTCTATATTAAAATGTACATCCTGTTTTCCTAAATATGCCAAATTTAATGGACAAACTCCCTCCATAGTGATCTGAATTCTTGAAACAACAAGGGCAAAATGGGCTTCCGGGTAATTGCTCTAGAGCAATAATAAAGCTACCCTTTCAGAATGCACATTAATAATAAAGCGTGCAGGCCAAACAATAACAATTAAAAAAACCCCCAAAATGTGAAACTCAAGTTTGAGGAAATTTGTAAATCAGACTATGGGGAGATGCAGGACATTTGAGTCCAGGCTGGTTTATCCTAAGTGCAGTTCAGTAACTCTGATCCTAGCTGACTGTGCTTGGATTCCCTAATCATAAAGAAATGCATTCTTATGAAGTTAATCAGCTGTAGATACAGAATGCTGATGACAGTTTCCCCATATATGCTTTATCTAAAGAAAACCCATTTAGTGGCAAATCTACCAAATACTTGTAACATTCACATAAAACTTTAATTGATTTTCAAACAGTACAACTGTGCCATGAATTCAACCACACAGAACATAAGCCTTAAGCTCACTAGGTTTAAGCAATTGTGACTTTGTAGACTAAAACTATGTAAAATAAAATCTGATAACTCCCTGGTGTTAGAGGTAGACAGTTTTCTTTCAAATCCTAGGTTTGGTCCTTTATTTTATTCAGCAGTGAAAGCCATGAATACAGAACGAATAACAGCTGTTACAATTCTCAACCATGACTTCTAACGTCAGAGAATTCAAGGTATGAACACAGTACACAGTAATGAAAAGTATCAAAAATTAGTTTACCTCAAAAAAGATAAATAAAACAGGTATATCCCACCAATACATAAACAGATGTTTGTGCTACAGTTAAAATTTGCTGTATACAAAAGATCATAATCCCCCGTCCTCAGCTTATGATAGAAGCAAGAATACATGAGCCATTTAAATTGTCAGACATTATGCTTTATAAGGTATGCACAGAAGTTCAAGCAATAAATACATACATTAGTTCAAAGCCTTACAATAGCTACGCAAAGCAGATGCAGAAAAGCAGATTTGCTATTACTAGCAAGCAATGATATAAGAGTAAAAATTCATGAAATGCATTAAAGCAACATTTTTCTTAGAAAAAGTTCTGGTCATTTATGGGTCCACCAACATTTTTACATAATATGCACAATTATCAAAATACAGACCAAGCATCTCAGAAAACTCCAAAAAACCTAAAATCTATTTTCAAAGCAATTGCAGTTTTGGAGGTTTTTCTGGTATAATGTGCAAGCAGCTATTTTTTTTTTAAATTGTATTTATATAAAACCCATGCAAAACTCTACAGGTATATGCATTCTGTGGCTGAG